CACAGATTCACACAATGCATCCCTTACACACAACCAGAAACACATAATACATCACTTATACACAAATACACACTGCTTCCACTACACACAAACACACTACATCACCTGCACAAACTGGTAACCCTATACACTACATACCATAAGCACACATATTAGATCCTCTACAATAACACATAACACATCCCCTACACACTCCACTCCCTGTGAGCGAACTCATGGGTGGGTGGAATTTATGAGTGGGCCTTATGGGCATACTCACCATCAGGCCCTGGGGCCCAGACTTTGAGCTGTGTAAGGGGCCCCAAAAAATGGAGCTGCTTCCAATTCTCCCAGAACATTGAATTTTGTGACCACAGTTGCAAACAGCCTCCAGAGATCCTGTTCTACACCAGACCAGTGGAGCCAAACTGCAGCCCATCATCATCCTCATCTGCTTGTAAGTAGGCAATCTAGTATATTATTAGTGACACTAATCTATAATGTACCTCACATTAAAGGGACACTATAGCTTAATGAAGTGGTTCTGGTGTCTATAGCTGGTCCCTGCAGCCTTTTTAATGTAAACACACACTGTGTGCAGCACTGGCGTTAGTTCATATGGGTGGGGCATTGTGATGTTACATGGGGGGGCAGCAAATTTTTATTTTGTCTAGGGCGGCAAAAATCCTTGCACCGGCTCTGATCCTGGGCAGGTGCACCAGTCTACTGGTGACCCACAGGAGGGGAGTGCACTGATTGCACTGCACTCTCCTCCTGCCCAGCCCCATCTTTACCGCAGTGCAAGTGCCCTCTGCCCCTAATTTACAGTGGCTCACACTCACAACAAGCAGTGCCTGGAGCCGTGAAGGAGCGGGTATGGCAAAGAGCTACTGATTAGCATAACATCAATATCCGTTATAAAACCAGGAAAAGGTGGGCATGGATGGTGAACTGATTTGGTGGTGCAATGGGCCACTTGACTGGTTTTGCCCTCCAGGCCTAAGGCTGCCAGCCCTCCCCTGCCCCCTGTGATGTCAGGTAAGTAAATACATTCTTTTTTTAAATGTCAGGGATGGGGGGACCTAATAGCAATGCCCAATAGAGAATTGCAAGCCTAAAATGGCAAATTGTGGACAAAGGTTAGAGTATTAGTACATTGCTGTATCATTTTATTCTGTGTTAACCAATCTCCTGTTTGCTGTAAGGATTTTGTAACAGGGATTTTCAAATTTACCACAATAAATTTAAATATTAGACTTAAATATTTAGAATTTCAGCTTCATCCCGATCCTCCTTGATTATTTCACCCATTTTATTTTCCAGTGGACCAGCACTTCCATTTTGGCATTAATGTACTTAAAATACTTTTTGCCATTTGGTTTACTCTCTACTAGCCATTTTGCAACTCCTGTTGGTATGTTTGTATATGTTGTAGGATGCTATTGAACCTCTTATTTAAATATTTGAACTTGACTAACCCTTTTATTTTGGAACTTTGGTTTTAATTTGCTTCTTTTACATTTGTTTATCAATATTATTTATTGAGAAATGTACTTTGGCCGAATTTGTTTGAAGAACCTTTAATTTATCCTCTGTGATTTTGCCACAGAATAGTTCCTGTCAGATAATTAGTTATTTTTTTAAATAAAACATTTTTGTAAAACCCATATAATTTATTATTATTTCTTCTTTTATTGTGTTCACTATTTCCCAAGTGCTTCCTAACTTGAATGTTTGAAAATAGGTCAACATTTCTAGTTATTACAAGATCCATACAAGCATCTATTCTAGTTGTCTAACTGTCTAATTGAGACATGAAAGTGTCGTTTATCAGGCTAAAGGCCTGTTTCTCTTAAATGTACTACAAGTCCCTCTGGCAAGGTTAATGACTGGATAATTCAAATCTCCCATGCTTAACAAGTAACCTAGATGTGCATCCTTATTAATTTAAGATAGTTGCTCTTCCCCTTTAGAATTAATTTTTGTGGGCTTGCCATATAGACATACCCCATTCCTTTTTTTATCCTTCCTATATTATGTATATCCATTCAAATTAATAGCGCAAAGGGGCGTGACCTGGACCTGTTGGCGAGCGGTCACATGCTGTGAGCGCTCTGTGCACCTAAGGCCTTAACCTGAGCAATTTGGACCCTTAACACCCGACTATGATGGCGAAATCCAACATGTCTCAGTCCAAACCTAAAAGGACATCAGAGAGGCAAGACAAATCACACTTTTTTGCCCCAAAAGCCGGGCAGACTAAGTTCCCAGCGATGACTGAAGAAAGGCAAGATGGCTCTAAGGAGCCGGAGCTGGAGCCCTCGCAAAAACCGCATGCTTAAAGACACATGCTGGATGACATGTCCAAAAAGATAAGGCATACCTTACAATCCTCACTCAGATATCTACACAAAGATCTGCAGGAACTGGGGGCCAGAACAGCAGGGCCGGACTGGCCCACCGGGATACCGGGAAATTTCCCGGTGGGCCGCGGCACCTGGGGGCCGGCCGCGTTCCTGGCTGGAGCCGCCGGGCCGGGTGGCAGCTTTCCCGGTCCGGCGGCCCTGCTCCTCTCACTGCCAGGGGCGGGCTGGGCCAGGGGGCAGGGAGGCAATTGCCCCCCAGGCCGCCCTAAATTCCTGTAAGGCCGGCCGCAGCGGGCCGGCCCTTTAAATACTGCAGCCACCTGAGCGCTCTGTTAAGAGCCTCAGGTGGCTGCAGCTTCTCCCCTGTAGCGTGGCCGAACTGCACTCCGGTCCGCGGTGGCCGGCCGGAGGGATAGGAAGGTGCACGCTCAGTGTGCACCTTCCTGTCAGTCCGACCGGGTACAGGAAACAGAAACTCCTGTTCCGCGCGGAACAGGAGTTTCTGTTTCCTGTCACCGGCCGGACTGACAGGAAGTGCACACTCAGTGTGCACCTTCCTATCGCTCCGGCCGGCCACCTCGGACCGGAGTGCAGCTCGGCCACGCTACAGGGGAGGGGGTAGAAAGAGGAGGAGGGGGGGTAAGAAGAGGGGAAGGGAATAGAGGGGAGGGGGGGAATAAAAAGAAAAAGAGGGAGGAATAGAAAAGAGGAGGGATAAGAGAGGTAGAGGATAAAGAGAGGAGAGAGAGGAATAATGAAAAGGGAAATAAGAGAAAAGAGGGAGGATAAGAAAGAGAGGGAGGAGGGGGTAGAGGAGAGAATATAGGGGAATAAAGAAAGAGGAATAAGGGAGGGGATACAAGAGGGAATAAGAGAAAGAGAGTGAGGGAATAAGAAAAGAGAGGGAGGAGGGCAAAAGGGAGGAGGAATAAAAAAGAGGGAGGAGGTAAAAAAAGAGGATAGGGAATAAGAAGAGGAATAAGAAGAGGAGAGGAGGAGATAAGAAAGAGGAGATAGAAAAAGGGGTAAGAAGAAGAGGTAGTAAGAAAAAGATGGGAGTAAGAGAGAAGGAGGGTAGAAAAGAGGAAGTAAGAAGAGGAGAGAAATACAAAAAGAGGCGGAGTACTAAGAAGGAGAGGCGGAGTAGAAGGAGGAATAAGAAAAGAGTAAGAAGAAGAAAGAAAGAAGAGGGTGAAGTAAGAAAAAGAAGTGAGGAAGTAAGAAGAGTAGGAGTAAGAAAAGAAAAGAAGAAAGAGAGGTAAGAAAGAAAGGGAAGTAGAGAAAGAAGGGAGTAAGAAAGAAGAAGGGAGGAAGAGGAGAAGAAGAAGGGGGTAAGAAGAAGGAGTAAGAAGAAGAAGGGGGTAAGAAGAAGAAGGGGAGTAAGAAGAACAGGTGGGGGAGTAAGAAGAACAGGTGGGGGAGTAAGACGACCAAGGGGGGAAGTATGAAGAACACAGGGAGGAGGGGGGTAAGACGAACACAGGGGGTGTGAGGAGAACACATAGAGGGAGGAGTGAGAAGAACACAGGGAGGGTGGAGGGGGGGATGAGAAGAGCACAGGGAGGATGGGTGAGTGTGAGACCACTAGGGGAGGGTGGGGGAGAGGAGAGACCACTAAGGTGCAGGGGAGAGCTCTACGGGACAGAAGGGGCAGCTCCATAGGACAGGGGCCAAGACAGGGAGCTCTTTCACACTACGCGCGTGCACACACACACACACACAATGCATCCCTACACATACACAGAAACACAACATGCTTCCCTTACACACAGAGAAACACACAATGCATCCATTACACACACACACACAATGCAACCCTTACACACAAAGACAATGCATCTTTTGCACACATACACAGAAACAGACAATGCAAACCCGTACACACATATGCAAACACACACACTTCTTTTCTTACATACACACAGAAACACAATGCATCTCTTACACTCAATGCACACACATACAGACACACCTTGCATCCCTTATGCATACAAACACAGATTCACACAATGCATCCCTTACACACAACCAGAAACACATAATACATCCCTTATACACAAATACACACTGCTTCCACTACACACAAACACACTACATCAACTGCACAAACTGGTAACCCTATACACTACATACCATAAGCACACATATTAGATCCTCTACAATAACACATAACACATCCCCTACACACTCCACTCCCTGTGAGCGAACTCATTGGTGGGTGGAACTTATGAGTGGGCCTTATGGGCATACTCACCGTCAGGCCCTGGGGCCCAGACCTTGAGCTGTGTAAGGGGCCCCCAAAAAATTGAGCTGCTTCCAATTCTCCCAGAACATTGAATTTTGTGACCACAGTTGCAAACAGCCCCCAGAGATCCTGTTCTACACCAGACCAGTGGAGCCAAACTGCAACCCATCATCATCCTCATCTGCTTGTAAGTAGGCAATCTAGTATATTATTAGTGACACTAATCTATAATTTACCTCACATTAAAGGGACACTATAGCTTAATGAAGTGGTTCTGGTGTCTATAGCTGGTCCCTGCAGGCTTTTTAATGTAAACACACACTGTGTGCAGCACTGGCGCTAGTTCATATGGGTGGGGCATTGTGATGTTACATGGGGGGGCAGCAAATTTTTATTTTGTCTAGGGCGGCAAAAATCCTTGCACTGGCTCTGATCCTGGGCAGGTGCACCAGTCTACTGGTGACCCACAGGAGGGGAGTGCACTGATTGCACTGCACTCTCCTCCTGTCCAGCCCCATCTTTACTGCAGTGCAAGTGCCCTCTGCCCCTAATTTACAGTGGCTCACACTCACAACAAGCAGTGCCTGGAGCCGTGAAGGAGCGGGTATGGCAAAGAGCCACTGATTAGCATAACATCAATATCCGTTATAAAACCAGGAAAAGGTGGGCATGGATGGTGAACTGATTTGGTGGTGCAATGGGCCACTTGACTGGTTTTGCCCCCCAGGCCTAAGGCTGCCAGCCCTCCCCTGCTCACTGCTGTGGCTGATGGAGGAGGAGCATGTCTCTGTACCATGCTCCGAGCATGGTACAGAGACATTCTCCTCCTCCATCAGCCACAGCAGTGAGAGGAGCAGGGCCGCCGGACCGGGGAAGCTGCCACCCGGCCCGGCGGCTCCAGCCAGGAACGCGGCCGGCCCCCTGTTATCTTTTCTAACTCTGTATCTGCACATTACGCTGGCGCGATGCATTATGGGGCTGGTAAATATTTTTTTTCCAGGGCTGCTTTTAATTCCCAGTCCGGCCCTGCAGAACAGCCACTATGGAAAACACCATGGCAGAGTACGCTGAGGCCCATAATGATATGGCTATGAAAATGGATGGCCTAATGTCCAGAATGGACATGGAGGAGAGGGCCCGACGGAACAAACGCCGCATTAGGGGAGTGAAGGAAACGGTCAGTACTAATGAACTGTCGGCCTACATTACGGAGCAATCACACACAATTGCCCAGGAGTTCCTAAGAGAGGTCCTTCTCATGGACCACGTACATCGCGCCACTAGGCCCAGATTCCTACCTCCCGACACACCAC